AACGTAATGTAGAAAAATAAAAATTCAAGGCTTTATTACAAAATTGCCGGGTGGTGATCCATATTATGCTGCCATTACCATCCGCACCCTAACCAGGAGTCCTAAAAGCAGTTTTATTGTTCACAGTGCAATAAAGATAGCTCTTTAGAAAGAAGTTGTGCTTGTTAATTTAATCAAAGGTATTTGTGAAAATGTGATTAATGCACTCATTAATCAAGTGCTTTGTGGTTAAAATGACAGGTCATCAGATGAACATGCATTACTTCAAGTCTTAGTGACATTATAATATTATTACTATATATATATATCACACTCCAGTAACAGTTTTTCAATTGGGGATATCTAGGCCTGGAAGCAGAAAGGTTTTATACTGTAGGTAGTCTTAAAATTTCAGAGAGTGAGAAAGCATGTTAGCCTCTCCCAATTAAGAAACTGATTGATCCCAGTCATTCACCCCTCATTTGCAATGAAAGCCAGAAGACAATGAGCTCTCCTGTACCAGGGCAAGACCTCCCCGATTCAGACTAGAGGAACTACAAGCATAGAAGGAAGAGACAGAAAAGTGTTGAGGAAAAATGCTAATGCAAATATTTAAATGCATTTCCACTTCAAAAGTCAATTGAAATTAAGTTATGTCATCCACAACTACTTTCATAGTTTCATATACTAAAGGTGAGGTTCATACAGTATTAAGATTCAAAGTCTCATGCTTTAACAGCTCAGTTAATCTTAAACACTGGTGCCACAAACAGTCTTTCATTTTTACAGTGTTACAGATTAGACTTTTGTTAATTAGTTTTTTTCCTCCTGAAAACCAAAAGAGAGATATAGTTCCTATTTATTAATACTTTATTTTGTGGATAATAAGATTTTGGAAATAATGTTACCAACGTTATTTAATAGCAAAATGAAAGGTTTAAATGGTTTGTTCACTGGAGGTCAAAATACATTTAACTTTTTTTAAGTACAGTATGTCCATATAAATAACAATATGTCAAAAATATTACTAAATGTTTTTTAATGCATGCATAAGAAATGATAAGAAATCTTGTATAACGGTCTCTACTAAATAGTAATATTAAACATTTTATTAGCTGTACTGTCAATGTTTCATTTTGTCCTAAACAAACATAATCGACTGTGTAACTGGAAGCAAGTTCCCAATAGGCACTTGAAAAACACCCTTCATTATATTGGCTGTGTACAAATATAAGCAGCTTTCTCCTGGTGAGGCTCTTTTTATCAAAATCCTATCAAACTTCCCATAATGCTTCACTGCACATGTCAGAGTTCAGCAGAGAGAGACAGCAGATCAGGGATAGCTGTATTGTCCAAATGAAATGAAGTGACAGTGTTTGAGCCTGGATAATACTGACCTGGTACTGTGAAGGTCATGACAAGTTAACAGGCTGCTGAAAAGACAGAAATTACCTTCCTCTTCTTTGACTGTATTTAAAGGGCACAGGTTACTAAGTCTTAGGATTTCTTTATTTGAATAATTCTACCATAGCATTTGCTCAACTGTGAGTGACATTTGTGAACCTTGGATGTGAAGGCCTCATCAAAAACATTTCCAACCAAGTGCAACCTAGTGCATTGCCAACAAAGCAATATTTTGAATAAATCAGATCTGAATGACAAAATACAATATTTATTTATGCTCCGTAGGTCTAGTACATGTCATGTCCCTTTAATGGGGTGACTGGTATAAAGGTTCAGATAAAGTAGAAAATTTCACCATCATGGCCAAACATCAAGAGTGACTAAGAGAGAAGGATTGAAGTAAATAGTTCTGTCATATTTAGCCTCAGCAGAGCTACTGACAGATACGACAGCAAGAAGCTTTAGGTATAGAAAGTGACAAGTGAGAAAGGTGAGCTCGAAGACTGTCACTCCTGTCATCCTGAACCACACATCCCCTCAGTTATGTTATGGAAATCTGTCACTTTACTCAATCTGTTTCATTTCAAACCTAAAACAGGCCTGTCATATCTCAAACTCAGGTTTATCCTTCCACATGACATAAAAAAAAGTTTACCTATACTTATATACCTCCTAAGTGATATTAGAAAATCATAGTTATTTCTGTCCATTGTAAAATATATGAATAACATCTGTATCCAAATTGTATAGGACTGATGTACAGTTCTATCTTAAGTGTTAAAACCCATGAAAAAATCAAGGTAGTTTTAAAACAGTGGCATAAATCAAAACCACAAATAGACCTTTTAAAACAGACATGAATTTTTACAATTTCAAATATTTTATTACAACATTCATAATTTAAGTTCACCAACCTCAAATTGGGCTTGACTAGTGGTTTCTATCCTCCTGACAGTCATATTTCCATTTCACGAGTAAAAGAAAATACAACCATTCCAGTAATTGGCTATTGTAGTTTATCTGTTATTTGTCCACCATTCATTACCCACAGTAGGGACATTATTCTATCAAAAACAGAATATTTATATGGTTCAGACTTTTATCAAAATAAATTAATCAGTAATCCTTTTGCTCTTACATTTTAAATGATAGTACTATGACCTTTGAGTATCTTTGCAGCTAGAAGCAGAACACAGTGTACAATACAGAGCAGTCACAGCCACACCAGTATCTGGTATCTTGCTCTTGTGTCTTAGTTACTACCTCATACAGAGGCACATGCAGAAGTCAGACATTGATACCTTCAGTGCATAAGTGATGTAGGAAAATGAGTTCAGCTTATTTCAAAATTCCAGAGCTCTATATACTGTATGTAATGAGTCAACATTCCTACCTGAATGATCATTCCTCCTAACTATGAGCTAAAAAAGAAATGTTATTGTTTACTGGTTGTGCTTAACAATTTACATATAATAAAGGAATCTCAAAACCATTTTAAGGCATAACTAATGCACTTTAATTAATTAAGCATATACCAGCCTAAAAAGGCAATTGTTAGCCAAGTATTTATATTGTCTTTGCTCTAATAAATCGGGATGACTAGCATCCACAGTGCCGATTTACTCATGAAAATATCAACATGCATTTCAGTTTGAAAAACAAATTGCTAACGAATATCTCACGGCACTGACCTCCTTGAAAATCTTTCAGAAAAGGAAAACAGATGGGCCCGTAAAAAGACGTCAAAGAAACAATGACACCTGGCACAGACAACATGACTGAAATAAGACAATGGAAATAAAAGAGTAATGCAGATGCAAGCTGCCACGGGAGCTTTCCAACCTTAGTTAAGTAGGCAAAAAATATAAGATTCATAAAATAAATTGAAATTGTAAATAACACAGGAAAAGCAAATAATTAAAAAAAAATAGTAAAATTGCAAGTGCACAATCTCACTGCATGCTTAAGTAGAAAACAACTAGTCTACAATTTTGGAACAGTCGTAATTTTCTTCACAGTCATTCCTTGAATCCAAGAAGAAGAATTAACTAGCCCCATGTATCATTACTGCACGTTCACAACAGGGCCTGCCAGGTGCTGAATAAAAAGAAATCCTAGAGGAAACTTAATTATTCAAATTAGAGAGCAGACTGACAAAAAGCCAGTGAGTGCAATTTTATTCCTTTATAGGAGGTGATTAGACAGAAGGGCTAATCATTACTTTCACTAATTTGTTAAATTGCCCAACAAATAAAAGAAGCACACAAAAATTGTTGTGGTTTTATTGAATTTATATTGAAAGGATAAGAAAATGTCATGTGCAGTTAAAAAACAAATATGATAAATAGAAGAGTTTCAAAGGGAACATCTGAAAAGAACAAAACTCTGTGGCTGTTGTTAAAATCAAGTATGTAGTCTGGGTGCAGCACTTGATTTACCTATACTCACACATAGCTTTTCTTTTCACAAACTCACATTCCTTTAATCTTGAAAGTGACAGCTATTACTATCTTCTTTTATTAAATGTAAGGATCTGATTAGCATCAGAGGTTTTTCACTTCAACACTATATTGATAATTGACTTTCCTTTGACATACAATAAAGCACCATCTGTTTTGTATAAAACATTATTTTTATCTATATTCCTGTCAATCTGCTTTTAAATAAAATACTCAAAATTGCCCCAACAAATGAGAGGCACTTCCTAAAAGGTAATTGATGCTAAACAATGAACTCTTTAACACATACATTTTTCTATGCATTTGTTCGAAGGAATACTTTATCAGGTTAGGGTGTGCTTTATGTACATACGTACATTTCCAATTGGAAATAAACTCATTAATATTCATACTCATAACTTATTGTAGCTATCTTTCTGTGTCATACGTCGGTGTCACATCTCCTCTATACAATACTTACTACAATGGACTATTATCGAACAATATTATTATAAGGTACAGAAATATTTTACATTAAAATGAAATATCATAAATCAGAGGTCAAAATATACAATACGAGATAAACGTCTCTATTCGTTTAAAAGAATAAATCTTTTAATTTTAACTATTCTATAGCCATCCTTTGTTCTGCTAAATGAATGGTGGCATTGTGTTTAATTGAACAACTAAAAGATCAATTGTCTCAGTAATGGGTATAAAGAGGTATATACTGTAGGAAGCCCAGCCTTTACTTTCATTGCTGTTTAATACTTGCCAAATATCACTGTCATAACACATCTTACATTATTTGCATTTAAAACAAAAGATGCAGTTATTTCACACTTATACACTGATATATTTAATTTTCACAATATATTTCTCTGCTGACATTCACATATTGATTATGCACTGATAAAACGAACACCTTTAACTTTGTTGAAGAGTATCTGACTAAAAGACACTTTATTATGTATCCCATGTAACAGTGTACTTAAACATTACACGCAGCTGTGGTACACGACTTAAAAAGTAAGGAATGTTAAGCATTTCCCTTCCACGTCAGTTAAGCACAGAAAAAAAAACAGAACAAAAGGTGCACATTTAGTGACAAATAAAAGGTCTGCACATTCCCTGGATATGAGCTGTTGGTTACCAGTGGGCGTTGAGATATTAAGTTACCTGTTGCCATGAACGTGAGAAGCACAAAAGGCAAAGCTGTAATGAAGCAAGGTCGGGTCGATCACAGCTGAGCGCTCTGCATACTCTATCAGCTCTTTAAGGTAGCAAAGGTGTCGATGGCAGCCTCTTACTCCATATCGGGCACAGTACTCATCCAGCACAAACACCTGGCCAGGACTGAACCAGCCCTAGACGGAAACAATGAAATCCTCCAGTCATTAAAAATGACCACGGGTGAACGAATCAGCCCTACAGTGCAATATAGACAGCAATGTGGGAAAAAGAACTGATCAGGCAGCAGATACATACGTATTGTGTTTTATTTAGTAGAATCAGTGAAAAAGTGCTGGAATTAATCTACACATGATCTGTAAGGGATTTTGGTATAAGGCTTAGGCTGTTTTGAAATTACCTTATATTTTTAATATATACACAGTTTTGTTTGTTGTCTTACATCTGTCATTTTTCAATTACCTTTCAGTACTCTGTAATCCATTTTGAAATCGGTATGCTAGTTGTAGAGACTGTAATCGAATTGTAAAATACAAACACAATATGCATGTATTATAATATATAAAATATCAACACAAACTGTGTAGAATCAGAAAGGTTAAATATCCATAATAAGCCATGAATCCGAATGATCCTCTCTTTTGGCTCATGGCTTTAATGTATTTTACATCTTTCTAATAGAGTCTTCAAAAGTTGGGCAATTTGAAAGAACAAATCCACAAGACTATTGTAACACCTGTTATTAATTCTGCCTAGTCTACATGAAAGGAAAACAGTTTTTGTCATCTAGAAATCTCTGATTCAGATTGATCAGGATCTAAAAAAACATTACAACAACTACAGTAATTCATGAGCATCCAATATGAACACATTTACCAATCACATCTAATTGATTATTGTCAAGTGTTCGCTGCTGTAAGTATTTTTTGTTCCTCTCTATAAATCCATAAATCTAAAGGGCTACTAAGAAATATAAATCTGCAGAGATAACTGAAATTTTAATAGAAGATTGCCACAGAATGGCAAAAACACTTTCTTCACAAAAGTCAAATTAAGTCAGAGTGAAATATCCAAAGTTAGTCACAACTAATCATAGCTCTTTGTTTCAATTGTGTCACATTTTAGTTTCAGATGTTAAAAAATGACAGATACTCTAGAATGATAACATTATCATGGTTTTAATTCACCAGTGGTATAACTCTTCAAACTGAACCATATAAGTAATCTTCATAAGAGTGCTAAGAAATGATAAAAAATCATTTGGCTTGATTTACAGAAATATTCCATATTTATCATCAAATGTTTTTTTAATATATCAAATGCAAACCATGTTGCAATTGCTATAAATTACACTATGACAAAACAAATGCTACAAGAACAGAAACCTAAAAAAATACCAGCTAAATGCATTGGCACTCATTTAATTTGTAATGTAACTCAAAAAAGGCACCCTGCTGTTTACAACACTGTTAAATTAATTCTTCTTAATTACCATGTAATTGAATTTGCTCAAAATCAAGATCAGAAAGACAGGTATTTGTAATTTATCCATTTATTTTTAACATTTCCATTTCCATACCAGTAAAAAAAGAGGATTAAGTAGACAAAAGGAAGTTATGTACATTTGTAATATTTATAAAGTAAATTCTATAAAGTCTGACCAGCAAAAAACACAAGCTATGTCAAAGTTTATACTATCACTGTGCTGCAAGGTCTGAATTCATAGTCAATAACACAGAGAAGCATGATTAACCACCAAAAACATAGGTAAATATACAAACGCTTGACTTCTCGATTATGTATCATTATAAATAAGCACAGTACAGTACATCTAAATAATCTACAAATCAGTCAGTAACTGTAAATCCACCTGATTTCAGTTTTCAGCCAGTCAAAATGAATCATTGATCTGAAAGGGAAGGCCACTGTACTGTATGTGTCAATCGAAAACACTTTAACGACTGCATACTGTATAATATGGGACAAACAGCAGCAATACAACTAAAATAAAAAGATGCCATACATAGGAAATCATTTTATGAGCTGAAAAAACAAGTTGAAAAATTAACTAATTAACTAAAATTAATTAATAGAAAGGTTTAAATAATTTAAAATTAGATATTAAATGGTAAAAATCTAGCAGACAACTGTTATGAATGTATGAGTCATTACACCTAAGTTTCAGTTATTATCCAAGAAGACTCACTGAAATTAACACATATAGTGCAGTATTAGTGGCATTTAAGGGTCAATGAACCATTTAGAGTATATACAATGAAAAATACTTTACTATTGACCATTGTTGCTAATGTTACAGGCAATAAATATTTAAATGTGTGTTCACTGAAATTGGAAAACATTCATTATTTTTCTTTTATAGCTCACGGTATTGGTACACAGTATTATTTTGTATACTGTAAGTGGTCCTGGATAAGGCTATCTGCTGAGCAAATAATAATAACAACAACACTAATACAGTATACAGTATAGTTGTTAATACAGTAGAGCTGTGGCAAAACTGATTTAAATGAAGCTAAATGACATTTTTCTGGTTTGTATGTAAAAGTGTTTCACGCTATCCTGACAATGGATAACATTTTTACTAATGTTTTGATGTGGGATCTCAAAGTGTGTAGGTTCTATTAATACATATGTAGCATTTACCAAAATGTCCATAGCTATGCAAGATGTTAAACTCCTAAGAAACAGATGGTAAACTCATGTCTTGGCAATAATGGACCCTATAACGAGCTGTCTGCTTTCATATTTGAAATTAACATGTTCCTTAGTGGCATTTTAACTGCTCCTGAGAAATTATTTTGTGTCATTGGTTCTTAACTCTTTATTAAATAGTATTTTTGTAAAACAAAAAAATGTAGTTTTGATATGGCTAAATTCAAGAATAACACCTAATTTCTTTTACATTGGTTACAGTTATTTTACTGATTAATAATAAACCATGTCCTTTACAGATATATTCAGTATATTCAGTATACTGCACTTCATTTTGTATGAGCACTACTTTCTGTAATTAAGAGCTTTTCATCTGAAGTCTAGAGGCACAATATTTCTAATTAATTAGGCCTTAATTGCGCTCTACGTAGGAAACAAAAGCGAAGGTGTGTCTCACAAGGCAAATCAACTATTAAGTGGGAGGCAGGAACACTGAATGTTTATAACTACATTACGGCTGTACATGACTTCTCTTAACATTTCCTGATTTAATGATAACACTTACTTGAATTTGTCAGGGGAAAAGAAGTGTCCAACCCCTGGGGCTTCGCAGTTGGGATGATAAGTACTTTTTGAGAAGTGACAATTGCTTTCTACAGATTTCCTAAATCTGCCTGGAGGGTCTTCCTGTGGCTAAATGCACTGTCCACAAAGCTAAATATTGGTATTTCATGACATTAGTTACAGTTCAGTTGTCAGTGTCTACCCACACATTTGTGTGCAATTACATTTTCTAATTTTATAATTTTACCACTATTGTCTGTATCATAGCTGTTATATTTTACAATTAGACATGTTTAAGAAAAGTAAAGTTATAATAAGAGTGCTTTTGTGCTTCATTAATTGTTTAATATTTTCTAACATTCAGATTTTTTCTGTAAATCAGATTATTTTTTTACATCCTAAAAAAAAGGTTATTGCACCAAAAGGCAGGTTTATTAAAAGACCAAGGCACCAGTTTTTCCAATGTGTACATGTGTGGTGTGGTGGGCGGCTGGGGTTAGAGGAGAGAGGTGTAACATTATTTGTACTTGATATGTGATCCCTTGTCTGCATTTCATGCATTTCCATTTGTATATTTGCCAAAAAAGGAGTTTTATAACACTACTCCATTATCATGGCCTTTTCACCTTTCATTTCAAAACCAAAAACAAACAAACAAAAAAAATACAAGATGACATAATGTCCGACATCTGGTAAGCCACAATGAACCCTCGAATGCCTGTACAGGTGCTAGTAAATCCTACTTTCCTCTCTTTTTTGTCCTTAATTAAGCCTTCTGTCCTCATTAAGCTCTTTGGAGAACCCTATAAGCCACAGCCTACCGTCAGCCTGAGCCTATTCTCCACTCTATTGAGTTGCACAGCAGTAGCCTTGGAGCATATAATTTTCATATTTTAAACCAATTGATTAGAATCCTTTATCCCAACCCTGAGTGTGGTTATTAAAAGAGCTTGGAGGTTAGGGCCTCTTCATAACAGCAATTTTGCACCTTTTTTTCTTACCACTTTGTACTCACCAGACAAGAAAAGGAATCATTCATTCTGTGCTGCAGCGTCTGCTTTTGAAGCACTTGAAACAGGGCAGCATGGTCAAACTTGCAAGGGACTGCAGATATGAATTCATCCATCCCGTGCTTAGGAGACCGCTCTAAAGCTAAACACAAAAGAAAGAGAAGACAGAAAAAAAGAAAAACATCAACAAGGATCTGTCTACTAGAACCTGATTATTTTGGCATCACTATTTTCAAAATATATAAGAATTAAAAATTAAAGAAAAGGTGATTTTATTTTGTATTTTCATTACGGAAATCTGTATTTTAATATTGCTCTCTTCAAGAGTAAAAAAAAGACTATTTATTCCACAATTTGAGTAATAGCATGAGTGACTGCAAGGGAAAATGAGTACATCTCAGATTACCTTTTAATGTCACATAACAAACAGCTTTTTCCAGCGGGATTTTTAGCCTTTGTCAACTCCAACTTTCATGAGTCATTTTAAGCCTACTCCTTTTTTACATTTTCCAATAGCTAAGTCTCACAGTGAACACACAGCATAATTCAAAATTAATAAATGTAGTAACAGGTAATATTTTAATGTTCATGGGGAGGAATAAGAAAGGGGATTTATAATAAGTGTTATTTTAACAATCTAGTGCATTCTGTATGTACACAAAATGTGTGAATGTACAGTATATAGCACAGGATTTGTTGAATATTTAAGGATTGGATATATACTACTGTATATGTAAGATATATTAACAAAACTACCTCATTTTTACTTCAGAATAATAAATGGATCCTTTTCAGTTTTAAAAATAAAGATTAAATAATTTTATTTAAAAATGTCATTTTGTTAGATTTAAAAAAATCAATTTATCTTAATAGAAATACAAAATTATAAGCCACTAAAATATCTTAAAATAAATTAATATGCGTGGTACTTAGTGTTAACCACCAAAAAAAGAGTGGGCCCTGGGTGCAGTTCCCACGGTGCTATCTACATGGAGTTTGTATGTTCTTCTCATGTTCATGTGGTTTTCCTCCCACAGTCCAAAGACTAGCCTTGGCTTCTGTAATATAGTCCCTGGTGTGAGTGTCTGCATGTTTGTGTCAGTGTGCCCTGTGAAAGACTGGCATCCTGTACAGGGTCTATCTTACCCTGTGACCATTGATTGCTGAGACTCTACATTGTGAGGACTATACATTTCCAGTCTGTTTGGAAAAGAACAGGGTAATGTTTCAATGATCAATTCCTACTATGAATCTGAGACCATGTCGGAATGTCTTTGGGCCTTTGGGGTTGAAAAGAACATAAAATACTCTTTAAAAAGAACCATCCAAAAGCAGTGCTGTCCTTAAAATAAAATACAAACGCTTATAAAACTTCCTTCCATTAAATAACCCAATAGTCCACAATATGCACCAGAAGATCTTCTGTGAACCAAATTTAAAATCACCAAGCAGCTACATACACTGGGAGGATGCTGAATCTGCTAATTTACATGATATCTAGTTAAGTGCATGCATTAAGCTTGCCAAAATATACATTGACACTTCAGAAAATAAAAACAGTATTTACACTATCAGTAGTAAAGAAAATTGTTAGAGATGGGGTCTTATCAGTCTGTTAACAATAATGCACTCTACTGTATAATACTGTAGGTATTAAAAAAACTAAATTTTGTGTGTAAGAAAATTCTCAGGTAAGCCTGGAAACAATGTTACACATTTTCTTAATTGTGAAATTTACCAATTTTTGTCATACAGATGCAGCCATTCAAAATGTGCGATCAAACATTTATCTGCAGATTAGCATGGAATACCGCAGTATGTGATTGGCTGGCTAAAGGGACCAACAGGCAACACTCGTGGTGCATTGGTTGTTAGTGAAATGATTGCTTCATTTAATCTCTTAAATGTGCATGTTTAAATTTTACAACTAAAGGGAACTTTTGGTAACTGAGCACAAAAATAACAGGAGCATAACGTCTCTGAACGTCATAAATTATATTAATTTTGGAATATAAACATATTATGTTATATATGGCTGGTATTGGTACCAAGTATGGTATTATACACCAGTATTCCACTTTCTTCATAAACATTTTAAGCATCAAAGTCTTTCATTCGGTCACTTACTGTGGTTATTTTGGAAATGTTTTTACGTGCTCCTGTGACTATATTAAGTTTATATACTTTATAAAAAGTTATAATGTTTTAAACCTTTTTATGAATACTTGCACTTGTTATCAGAGTAAAAAAAGCATTCTTTTTAGAATTTTATTAATAGGGGATATAATATGCAATTACGTATCTAAAGAAATTAATAATTATATTTAAGGATTTATTTATTTTCATATAGCTCAAATTATTACTGTAGTCCACTTTCTTTGTAAACATCTGCATTAGTTTGACTCACTCACCCGGGAATACTTGGAAACATTTTACCTGCCCTTTTCAGTTATAGCTTAAGTTGTCAGTGGCGTGTTGGTGTAATGGCTTTGGCATGTGATTTGCATACCGGAGGTCGGGGGGTTTGAACCCAGCTCCTGGCATGAGCTTTCTTTGAACAAATAAACATTTATTTGAAAAACTAAAATTGTAAATATTATGGACACTAATGAATTTTTTGGTATTTCTAAATATCACAACATTTTCAAGGTTAAGGTTAAGGTTAAAAATGGGTGGTTTTTCTTTCATGCGTTCAGCTTAGAGTCTTTGTGTAAGCTGCAAGTTCTTTTTACTTCTTAATTAAACATTTTAATTTTGTAAACACAACACACATTTTATAAAGAAATACAATCATGTTTTCTACAGGTGTTAAGCATATTGGCAGGTTGCTTACAAAATAGTGCACCATGCACTAACCATAAACACCGTTCTACAGCTTCTGTTTTTTTAAAAAAACATTTAGAAAAGTTTTCATCTATACAAATACCACAGACTTTTTTGATTGTTTTTTCTGAATGTCACACTTTTTATTTGCATCTAAATAAGAAACTCAGGTGTTAGCATAAACTATTAGTAATCAATGATATTAAAATTCACAGTGTAATAAATTGTTGCACTTCTTCCACATCTTGTAAAAAAAGCCAGAATTATGTACTATCCCTACGTCTGTGAAAACCTGACCATCTACTGAAAAGCTTTCAGTGCTTTGTTGTGTATATTCCAGTCACAGCGGGGGCAGTGTGTGTGGGGAAAGGTTTAGGCTGCAAAGGGTTAAACTGCAGCAGCCACAAATAAATAAAAAATAAACTTTTTATTCTTCTGATGGTAACTGTAACAAATTGTCACGTTTCACATCCTTGCATAACAATCATTTTATTTATTTTTAAACCGTGATCTTGACATGCAGGTGTGAAATAGAGTCAACAGCTTCAGATTTAAATGTTATTAACAATATGTTGCGTGTCGCATTAACATTGGAATGTTCTTACATGTGTAAAAAGAAGTGATACACAAGTGTCTCCTCTATAACTCTTCAGTTTACAGAGAAATTCCGCCAGAGCCACACAACATTTTCCAATAATACTCTTCTTGTGTCTAATTTCCAGGGAGTAACCCTGTTACAAAAGGGAACAGTGCATTGGTCCTTGACTGTGGTTAAACAGTACATACGATGTCTGGTGGAGTTTCAGCATTCACTTTTCTGCAATCTGTACAGAACCATGATGGCTCATCAATGTTTGTTACCACTAAACAGGGGGGCTTCACAGACTTCCTTATTTGAACTCAACCACGCTCTAGTAAATAATGTAGTTTATCACCTTCTGCAATGCTTCTGGTTTAGTAGGATTTTCTTGATAAGCACATTGTTTAATGGGGATGACATCTCTATGTCTATATCACTGTACGACACAGGTTTGAGTCGGAGTGTCTGTTAATAAAACAGAGCGCCTTCCTATACATATAACTACTGCATTAGTTCTTTATCCATTTCAGCTAAATGAGGGGAATCAAATCAGTCAAAATCTCAGAGTGGCAATTGTAAAAATAACCCTTCTTCCCTCCTTTGTTTAACTTAAAGAATTTCACGAAGAAATCCTTAATCACAAAACCATCACTTAATTTATCCAGATACCCAAATTCACCCCAGAGCCAACAACAAGCTATAATAGTGGACTATTTTTATGTATTCACTATATAAAAAACAAACTGAAAGTAGTACTCCGATCGTGCTTTGAACCACTGGTTGCAGTGCTTTGTCCATTACCAGTACAAGGACAATAAAAGTTTTTTTAAAAAGAAACGAATGTCAAAATGTTTCCAAAATGTCCACCTGTGATATTTTAGCTGCTTAGTTACACGATTTCATGTTAATATAACTATCAAGTGGTATTAAATAAATACAACTTTTTTTGTATAGATGACATTTAGCTAAAATTGATTAAAAAAAACAATTACAATCGAATCTTTCCACGTGTGATGCCATTAGGAAGTCCAATATGCTCCTGCTTTGTTTAATGATCGTATGGAAAATAAATCTTAATGGTGAGAAACCTATGCTTAAAGTTAGTTAAGGGACTTTGAAGACAAAGATAGTGATTTACGTTGTTTTAATTTTTAAAACTAAGTGATAAATGCAGACGTGATTGGTGCCATTTGCACTGCTCGCCACAGAAAGCTCAGGGTGTGTCCCTCCCCCACACGGAGTGCAGTATTTTCACAGCCTCTGATTAGGAAAATAAGACCAGTAGATCTATCCTACATGACAGGAAGAGGAGAATGTGATTTTTTTCTATAAGAAATGTGGGTTGGGTTTATGAAATTCAAGTATTTTAAACATTTAAAATGTGAAAATCTTACAGCATACACAAAGATTCTAAGCTGATCACAAGGAAGAAAAATCACCAATACTCCCTCAGTATCTGCCTACACTTATTGTACAATACATACAGAGTGGGATGCATCTTATGCTCTTTGTATTATTCAGAAAATGGACATGGTCTTGGAAATCTCAAATGGACATCTCCCTCTTTTTTGCAATTTATATGCTGTGAATGAATACCAACACAATTGCCTTAAACCTAATGAATGCATACATAGCTATCCAACATACAGTGCCCTTCAAAGATTTGGAATAGCAAACAGTAAGTTTTGCTTTACAACTAAATAATTTCTTTATTTTTGACTTCTGAGAAAGTGGTGTGT